ACACACACACACACACACACACACACACACACACACACACACAAATGTTTGAGGAGCACTGACTGTTTAGGAACCAGGTCAAAGCGCATGCGATTGAGGAGCTCATCTTCTTCCAGCATGACTGCAGCTAAAGGATACATCTGCTCCATGTCAAAGTGGAACTGAACACCAGCGGGAGGGTCGCGGAGGAAGTTCCTCTTGTCCTAGAATCAGCAACCAAAACAGCTCAGTTTCTACTCAAAGCATAATTTATAAATTTAAATAAGTAAAACAGTAGCCACAAAAATAGCTACCCATTCATACATTCGTACTATATATTGTGCATGATGCCTTTGCTTACAGCGGACAGAGCGAGAATCTGTTGCTGGATTGTCTCCTCTTCATTGTAGCCGACCCAGGGTGGCACTGCTGCTTCTACACAAACATCAGAGCATGTGTGCACTCACACATTCAGTCATGTACCATCAGTCATCAGTTCCAATCCTTATCTCTGAGATGCACACATGTACAAACCTGGCTCTCTGTAAATAGAAGCTGCTTGGCCAGTAAGTGACGTATGCTGATAAAATCGTGATAACATCATTTCTGCTGCCCCTCACAGGCGCAATGTAAAAATAAAGATTACACAGTTTATCCCAGTCAGGTCTCACAAGACTCCAATTTTAAACAAAGTGTGTCAATTTCAAAGTGTAAGTCTTTCTTTCAGAAATTAATATTTGAACTTTTGATTGATATATTTATTTTCATAGTGGTTCAATAATTGACTTTGGAAAACATTATGACTACACTTCATTGACCTTGTAGCACCAGTTTAATTCTTCATTGCTCAGATTCAATAAAATTCTGGAAATATCATGCAGCGATTTTGATCCATATTGACATGATAGCACCACACAGCTGCTGCAGATTTGTCACTGTAATCCCAAAGGTGTGTAATCAGCGTATGTGGTGACTGTACGGATCATTTGAGGTCATCAGTAAATAACATTCATGCTTTAAAGTCTGGTTTACCTGATTTCTTGGCCTTCTTCTCCTGGACAAATTTCTCTTGCTCTTTTTGGAAGTCCGCTAAAAATGTCTACACACACACACACACACACACACACACACACACACACACACACACACACACACACACAAATAAATAGATTGGAAAAGCTGATGCATAAATGGAGAGTGTTAACAAAGCAGGAAGTCCTGAAAAAGTTATGATAAAATCCAGGATTTTACTTGCATATGAAAAAATCTGGAAACTTTGATACAAATTTTAAACTTTAACACTTTTAGACTTAAAAATACTTTGAAAATTTTTTTAAGTAATGTTTAATCTATGGAAGCTTTATTTGCCCCAGATATTTTTTATTGATCAAACTGCCAAAAATAAGAAGAGGGTGTGTAGACTCTATACAGCACAGTGCGCTTATGTGTATAATCAAACCTTTAAGTCCAGAGGCCAATGCTACTTAATAATAATACAATACTGCTTATCCAGGTAAGCTCAGGCTTAACCCCTGGGTTTTCTGTACTTTGAAGGTGGTTCACTTCTTACTCGGGGTAAATCACTATCCGGAGCAAGTTAAGATCCAGAATAGAGATCAGCAGATATGAACTCACTGCCTACTGATTAATCAATTCTCCAGAAAATAGCATCACTATTCCTGGAAGATCCCTCAAACTTCTGTGCATAAACAGGAGTCTAAAGTTTTCTTCTATAGCATCTACTGTCTTTGTTTTCCTAATAAGAATCAGAAATAAATATTATAGATTTCTAGACACAACTTTATTCTTTTGGTTTTAATAAACAAACTATAAGTATTAATATCTGATCCTAAAATAGGACACCGACAGTGTACTTGCTGAACTCATATGAAACTTATGTAGACTAAGCCAATATTTGAATTAAAAAAAAAAAAACCTTTACTCTCAAACCTTTAAAGTTTGCAGCTGAGAATATCAAAAATAAAACTGTTGGGAGAAGGTTATGCTCATCTTCTTATTAGACTGCCAGACAGTAATCTTAGGTTTCAGAGTTCTAGGAGAAACCCTGGGTTAAATTAGCGAACTGTTAACCAGCTTTGTGTGCCAGTTCGGGGAAAGCAAATACAGAAAACTGACCTACAAACCCACAAATGCACAGACGCCGTTTTTAAAATCTGAAAAACCAGTCAAAAAGAATCTGAGAGCAACATGCCTTGTCTATGATGCCATCAATTTTTCCTTCTTCCACTGTCTTCTTGATGGTCTGGGCAGTCTCCACCATTGAATCAGAGATTTTCTTGGTGGCACTGGAAGCAAAACTGAAGATGTAACCTTCAAATGGAGAAAGAGTCTGTTAATAAAACCATTGCCACTGCAATAAAAGATACATATATGAGAGAACAGATTCTCCTGCAGTCATATTTGCTCTAGCTGGGAGTGAAGAACATACAAAAAAGATGAACAGGAAAGCCTTCAGGGTTCAACACAGACAGAAAGACTAACGTCACGCTAAGTAACTTTGAGCACGTAGCTTAGAGTTAATTAAGAGTTAATCATCCAGATATGAGCTGTTCCTCACCGCCGAGTCCTGTGGACTGTTCCGAGTTTTCCTGCTCCGCCTCTGGTGTTCCATCCTGGTCAGCTGGCTGCTGTTTGTTTACCTCGGTTTGTGCTTCTACCACCTTCTCTTCCTGCCCCACATTCAGCTTTTCCTTGTCAACCGACGTCTCCGTAACGGTCGGGCCCTCCAGACCCAACCACGTCCCTAAACCTTTTAACATGCTGGTGGAAAAACACCGATCGATTAAATTAAAGATACGGAAAAACAATCTGCACGGACTCTTCTGACTATACAACCAGGAAATAAACTGACGTTTTCTTCTTCTGCGTTCTCGTGTGTGCACTTGTGCGATACTGCCACCCGGAGGCCAAAATATGGGAAGTCTGGTTTGATGGGTTGTTGTTAGTGCTATGGTGGAATATATGAATAAAAAAAGGGTATTTATCAGTAAAAACTATCACAAAAGTGTTGCACGTTGAAAGATCTACACCTTTCCTAAAGTAGAAAAATGGTATGTCTTATAAAGTACGTGCTCATTGTTGGCAGTAGAGGAACTACTACGTTTTACGCAACATCCAAAAGAAGCTGCAGGTGGCGGTAATGAGCTGAGATTTGTTCCACTTTTTGCGGCAAAGCAAGATAAGGAGAAGGAAGATAAGGAAGATCGGTGAATTCCTGACGGAGGACTCGTACCGGTAATTTTGCAGTTGCTCAAAATTTTACATTATTATTATGTGTTTTATGTGTATTTATCTTGGGTATAGTTTACTACAGTTTATTACAGAAAGCTATGTAATCCCAGTCACGTGTCTTCAGCACGTTAGGAACCGCTGTGACTGACTGACTAGCTCTACCCGTGGGCTGTTTAGTTGTAAGGGGACGAGTTTACACCACACTTCCTTTAAAAAAGAAGGCATTTAAAAGTTCGTTAGTTTTAACGTAGTTTTGATGGAGAAAGGAATAATAAATATTGTTAAAAAATGTTATTTGACATGTCAAGTAAGGATCGGCTTTAATGGGAAGAGTAATTTTTAAGAAGCGGAAGTGTGGGCTCAGTTACTTGTGTTTTGAGCTGATAAGACGTAAATAGACCGGTTGAGAGCAGTATCCGTTACCAAACGAAATAATAGAAGCGTGGAGCTTAAAAATAACTATTATCTTGCTTAATTTATTAGTTAGTTTTGTGTGCTATTTTGCTTTTAAGGTGCCAAATGAAGATTCTGATGGTGTTTGATTTTGACCACACCGTGGTCGATGCCAACAGTGACACTTGGGTGGTCAGGTAGGTCAAGAAAGTTTTACTTCAGCTCTTTCCATGTTTCTTGTCATCTGTATGTATTATCTTGACAAAGATTTTCTGTTGCACTGCTCCCGCTACTACTCTGTAATTACTGTTTTATACTAGGACCTTAAAACACCATTAGAGAAACACTATAGCTGAGTTATCCTGATTTCTCTTATTTATATATTCCTTGTGTCAGGTGCCTTCCTGATAAGGCACTTCCTGGCTCTGTGGAGAATTCGTACAGAAAAGGCTACTGGACTGAGTACATGGGCAGGGTGCTGAACTACATAGGTGAGTCTATCATGCTGTTTGTTTTTGTTTTACTACTTCCTGAAATCTGCCTTCAACATTTTCTAATCTATGCCCGCAGGGGAGCAGAAGGTGAGCCCAGACAGGGTTCGCAGTGTGATGGAGACCATCCCCTTCACAGCTGGAATGACTGAGTTGCTGACATTTATAGCAGAGAATAAAAATGCCATTGACTGCATAGTCATCTCTGATTCCAACACCTTGTTTATAGAATGGATTCTCCATGCTGCAGGACTCCAGGCGGCTGTTGACAAGGTTTTTACCAACCCAGCTAAGCTCAATGAGTTGGGCCACATTGAGGTGCAGTGCTATCATTCTCACGCCTGTGATCAATGCCCTGTTAACCTCTGCAAGAAAAAAGTCCTGGAGCTTTACCTTTCTGAGCAATCTGATGCCGGCGTGGAGTATGAGCAAATCTTTTATGCGGGGGATGGGGGGAATGATCTCTGCCCTACTTCCTGTCTGAGAGGCCGTGATGTTGTGATGCCAAGAAAGGGATACACTCTGGAGAAGCTGCTAGCCAAACTGGAAGGTCAGGAGGGCAACTTTTCTGTAAGAGCTAAAAACATTGCCTGGAGCAGTGGCACTGACATTCTCCGGGAGCTGAAAGCAAGCATGCAGTCGTAGCCGTGGCACATGAAATATTACAAATATTGAGCCTGCACTGCAGGATCCATTGTGCTGCCTGTATTCTTTTTTTTTCATATTATAATTCAAAATTTTAGAAGATTTCATGAAATTTTTAACTTATTTAAAACGACAGCATTTGCACATGTAAACCAGTCTTTTAAAAAGGGTAATTTGTCTGCAGGGAAATTTACTTTTATCTTTTATCTTCATGATCTTTACAATTTTTCTAATTTTCCGTGGTGATCGAAAATAGAGGTGCCTGAAACCACTAACAATACATAGGCAGTGTGTCACAACGGCAGCTTTTACATGTGCAGTGTATGTTAAATACTACGTAAGAATTCAGTTAAGATTATATTTAGTATAGCATTCAAGATCTGTTGTTGGGGCTGATCCAAGAAGCAGAGATGAACCAGCAAGTTAACTTGATCTGATAAAGTAGAAGTCAGGGAAATTTCTGAGCAGATTTGAGACATGGATTAATTTTAGTCCCAGACTACAAGAAAAATTAAAAGATGTCTCCATTGAAATGTTTCTGGACTAGGGTTTCTAGAAAGGTTCATGTTAAAGGCGTTTTGTTAACCTGAAAACCTTAAATCAGTGTACTTCATGCAGTCTGCACTATATCTAGCCACGGTACTGTGCAAAAATATTGAGCCACCCCTTATTTCTTTATATTTTGGTGGAAAGATAGAAAATTGGTACAGCAGTTTATTGAAACATGTGGAAACATGCATGGAAATTAAGTATATATATAACAAAAACAGCATTTTTCTACAGTTATAAACATAAAAAGTCAATATTTGATACGACCTTTACTCTTCAAAATTTTTAAGGTATTAATTTATTTTATTTTTTATTTTCCCCAAACCACGAAAGAGCCTCCTGTTTTACACACTGACTGATGTGGATTTCTTCTAAAACACTTTGGAAATCAGCTCACTGGTACTATAATGCAAATTCATGCCTGTCAAACTGTGTCATCTTTGGTGTTTTTTACTACAGAAGTGGGGACATCATTGTGTTTTTGTGACAGGCTGCTAATAAACGTGCTAATAATGGGCCAAAAGATAAAAATTTTAATTCGTTCTTTGTTTTGTGGGTCTCAACACACACTAGCTCAATTTCCCAACCTTGAATTAAGCCTGGTGATTAAACTCTTTACTCAGTGAAGACCTTCACTGATGTTCTTTTCTTTCTTTTTAAAATGTTATTCATTTTGTGAGCACCAGACTCGGTCTGTGTTTGGGAAACTGGCTGACTGGATATATGTTAATATTTCCAAACCATTGAACAAACAATGGGTTCTGGATATTGCATTTAATTAAATTTGCTTTATAGTTTACAAATGTTAGTTGTCTCTTCACATTATGACCGAAAGCTTCTAAAGCACTCCTACTAACTTGAGTAATTTTTCTTTATGAATCTGAGAAAAACACTATACCAGTTCTTCCCTGCTATATTCTGTGTAAGACATTTTGATTTCTGAAAAGAAAAGCACTGATGTTACTGATGGCATTATGATGTGTTATATTTAAATGCTCCAGACAGTGTTACAGCATGCACCATACCAGGAACTTGAAACTGCCAAATGGCATGAAGTTGTCTGTCTTAGTGTAAACTGAGTAAAATACGTCTGTAAAAGGCACATTATAATGTAACTAATACATACTTTAAAGAAGGTGCTTTTGTCAACATTTTGAATGTAACATTTTTACATGAACTTACCTCAGCTGATATCTGGTTAAGGAAGATTGAATACGTTTCAGCAGTTTTTCTACAGTTGCAATTCTTTGTTTGGGGTGTTGCAGATGAACTCATTATTATAACTGGTCCTAAATGATTGTACTTGTTTAATGTTATTTAGCATTTAATAGAGCTGTGCTGCTCTATAGTTCTGAATCTTTCTGTTCTCCAGTATTGTCAGCTGTGTTTTACAGATCAGGTCTGTTTGATTTTTGAAAGCACGTTTGGATTAATGTGAGTAGTACATTAAATATAATATGAGTGCATAAACCACCACTACCCTATAAGCTACATGAACAATATTCCATGTTTGTTTTTACCACGTTAACTCTGAAGTATCAAACAGCCTCATTTAGGATTTTGCTCAGGTTTCTTGTGGCCAGTATGCATTATCTGAATAGACTATTCAGTTTTTATGTACAATTTCAACAGCCGTGCTCATGGAGACATATATATGTATATATGCATTGATTGACTTTCTGTTGCCACTGTCACAAGCCAGTTTGATAAAATAATATTGTGTGTTGTTAATGTGTAATTCCAATGATTAAATCAAATTAATTACCTCTTTGATTATTTTTTCTCAGGTTTTACTCAAATCCTTCTAGAGGCAAGTCTTACATCTCACCAGCAGTGATAAAATATTGGGGCCATATCTTTAAAGTATTATCTCCAATATATTTCCAAATTAATGTAGTGCAAATATTTTCCACTGCATTAATTAAGATGGTTTTGTAACACTGTGATGGTGAGGTGAGATTTCATTATATTGTGAGGTATTGCTTTGAATCGTGTTTCACAATGAGCAATTATACTAAAAATACTAAATGTAGTCCAATAGATTTTTGAGGGGTACTGACTATACAGACTCATAAATGGATGAAAACAAGCTTCTCGTTAGAAATATTAAATGAGAATGACAATTATTTTTATTATTTCTAATTAAGATTAATTGTTTTCCTAAAATCTAAAGTAATTTTACCACTCAGTGACAAATATAAAAGCTAGCTTCTAGACTCTCTAGATGAAAGGATAAAATGAATTGAATTTAACGACACATATACATATATACACATACATATATATACACATATGTATGTATACATATATACACATACATACACACACATATATGTATGTATACATATATACACATATAATATATACACATATGTATGTATACATATATACACATACATACACACACATATATGTATGTCTACATATATACACATACATATATATATATACACATGTATGTATGTATACATATATACACATACATATATATATATATACACACACATATGTATGTATACATATATACACGTATATACACACACACACACACACACACACACACGCGTGCGTGTATATATATACATATATATGTAATACAAGCTGTACACGGACTAACATTATATCAAAGTGTCATATCCATTTCTCTATTATTGCTCAGTTGCAGTGAATATATAGGAGAAAATAAACTGTGGAAAACTAAACAGAAGAAATAAGAAGAGAAATAACAATTTAACATAAACCAGTGACACACTCCAGGACCTGATCAACCCTGGCAGGGCCTCCTTGGATGAGGGTGTCTAGTGGCTGAATGGGCGAAACACCCGATGAATCCAAGATCCACTACTGAGATGTGTCCCAAATCTTAATATGATAATCTAATCAGATTCTCTAATCCCCCCCCCAAAATGGCAGATTAGCTTGGGTAAAAGACTGAAAGTTAGGCACACAATGATGTGTGTGCTGGTAAAGTAAATTGTCTGGGCTGCCCTTCCC